TCCCAATCTCCGTGTTGTCAGCAGCAAGGTATTAATTTGGCCTTCTGTGAGAGGAATTGTGATCGGTGTGGGAATTACTATATGTAATAATCTGATAAAAGTAATGCTTAACTCCTGGAAGAATCACATCCCTTCCTTGAACTATGGGGAATATTTAGGAACTCAAAAATATCCTTATGCAATTGTATTTCTACTATTTCTATACTCCATCTCCCTAATAAGCAGTAATGAGACAGGGATTTTATCTAGAAAAAAGTCTGTCTTTAGCTTTAATTATCATTCTAGGCATCTGGAATACTAGGCAAGTCAGACAAAAGTATTTTCTTTTTCATTGGACAGAGTTTGTTGCCTTAGGCTTTGCTGCCTCTGACATGTTTCCTGTGAAGTTCAGCATGGCTTAGATCAAAAAGCAAACACAGCCTGCGATTATAATGATGGAAAGCCTCTGGCTTAGTGTGGAGATGAGTCTTCTGGAAATCTGCTTCAGATAACTCATCTGAACCTACAGTTTGTAGATTTGGGAGTAGGGAGAGGGGGCAGGTTTTTAACTCCAAATGTTTGCACTTAGTGTGTTTTTTTTTCTTTAAAGACAACCTAATACAATTTGGATACACACTATCTTTTTACACTGTAACCTGCATAGAACAAAAAAGGAGAGACCCGCTGGAGTATCAGGAAAATCAAGCTGGCCACCTTCTGGCCTCTCTCTCACTGGGTAGATTTACAGCTGCTCCAAGGCAGGAGCCACGCTTGGAGAGGTGAGTGCTACACCTAGGGGAAGGCTGCTGTTTCCTGTGGCTGTTCATCATTTGGTCTAAATGCCAAATACACAGTCTCTGATTTTTCAGTGGGGTGGCATAGAAGTCCTTAGCCCAGTAGAAAGAAGGAAAAATCATCAGGAGTTTTGCTAAACTGCAGAAGGTGAAGACCACATGGAGGGCTCTAGTCAAGGCAGAGTGTGCAAGGTAGCCCCTGTCCCCACGTGCCACCCAGCTTCACGCAGGGCTCCTGCCCAGTCCCCCGCAGAGGGAGCAGAGGGGAGCTCTCAATGTATTGGCTCATGTGCATTTGCTTCTTTCACATAAGGTCGTTATGAAGTCACATCCCTTTCACCAGGCAAATGAGCTATAACACACAAACCCCACCTCAAACCCCCATTTGTGATTCCAGTCCATGAGTTGCTGCTGTCTTTCAGATAATAAGTTCATTTATGTCTTTCGAAGGGGCAGGAAAAACCTTCAGGCTCCTATATGTGACCACAAGCCCTTGGAGGTGGCCATCTCCTGCACGAAGGCTGTAACCTTTCCAAAGATGTGGGGCAAATGCCACACACAAGAGCATACACATTGGTATGGTTCATGCTGCCACACTGGATTAAGAGTTATTTTTTCCTAGCAAAAGAACCCTCCCCAGATCTTCACTAATCCCCAAACACTCCCTTCCCCCTTGCCACCATACACAAAGCCCCATGAGAGGCTGGACATGAAGCCTGCCTTTCCTACCCGACAGCTTTGGGCTGGGCATCCAGGCTGGATGTCCTCAGCAGCTGTGCAGCACAGTACCAGAAATGCAGTATTTTATTTCTAATTCATATCTGCAAAAAAGGTTACACAGGGATGGGAGGTCAGGATGAGATGCACAGATTGAGTTTAGATAGTTTTGCAGGAATATAAAAAGCAACAATCTCTTGAGCTGCAGTGCCCACATGCCCAAACATACACCACCATTCCTAAGTCATTCCCCATTTTCCATGTGGTAAAAGAAAATTACACTTTTTTCATTATATTTCACCTAAAACATCTTAACATGCTTTTTAGGGTAAAGTCTGTTAGAAAATAGTGGGGAGGGAGCAATCCTAAAGCTTGGCAGGCTCACAGCATTTCAGGGCGCTGCTAGATTCTGAGTTCATGCAGCAAATTAAAGGGAACTCCCTCAAGAAAATTGGACTGTGTATTTTTAAAAAATGGTCCTACAACCTTTTGCCTCAGCTAACATTATACTAACACTAAAGTGTCTACCTAGGGACAGCTGTTTCCTCTTCATGACTAAATACATGAGTAAATTTATTCCATAGAACAAAATACAGGATTATTTCATTTGCCTTGCCTGATTTCTGTTTCTTCTGGGTTTTTTCCCCTCCTTCTTTTCTCCCCTTTTTAATTCTCTGTTTGATTACCTGAAGGTCATGGAGGGGTCTTACCTAGCAATATTTACATCTCTGAGTGCCTTTTGCCACTAAGAAATAGCAAAAACTTCTGGGAGTGCTTTTCTTCATAGAAGAGGCAGCAGAAATGCTTAGGACTATAAGAAGCCTACCTTGAACTCTTAAAAAAACTAAACAAAACAACACATAAATACAGAAAAAACTGTAATCAAGTAAGTGGCCAGCTCAGCACTTACACATTTGTTGTGCTGCGAAACATTCTGGATTTCCTCTGGTTTCTTTGGGTTTGGTGGAGGCATTGCATTGCAGCTTATTGATACAGCACATGTCTGAAATGTGAAGGTCAGCCTGCTGTGCACACCTGGGGTGGACTTGCTGCTGGACAGGGCAGGAGACCTGGTGACAACACCAGAAAGGCCAAGGTACTCAATGCCCCTCTCTTACTGGTAAGACCAGCCTTCAGGAACCACTGGGCCCCAAGACCAGGGAAAGGTTTGGAGCAAGAAGATGTACCTCGGTGGAGGAGGATCAGGTTGGGGATCAGGTTCCACCATTAATACAATGACCCCAAAACACTTTGCCTGGGACTGCTGAATTCGGATGGGTTGACTTTCTGGAGTATTAACCAGACAACAGATTTAAGAAGTGATCTGATTTCATTACCTTTCATTCAACTGCCTAGAACAAATTCCCTCATAAGAACAAGGCTTTCTTTTTTTCCAGAACACTGAAATATTTTCAGTTTTCTTACATGTGCAATCTTTAGACTACTCAAAGGCTCCCAAAATCTTTCACAAAAAGCTGGCACTAAACAACTAAAACTTATGATACTGCTTTTAAGTTCTTTACAGGTTAAAATGTGATATTGCTCAGACTATGAACTACACAGAGATTTAATGTCACTATAAAATACTAATAAAAATTCTCCTTGGAGCTCACCTTTAAATACAATTAGGTATGAAATTTTCCTTATCCAGCCCAGATCCAGAATTGCAGCAGTAATGGCCAGCAGTGTATCCACATACACACATCCATACAGTGCACGTGCACGAACATGCTGGCAGGGCTGCTCCCACCAGCAGCTGGTGTATACACACAAGTGTGATTATTCTTACTTCTAACCATGATCATTGTAACTGAAAAGTTTGTACAGTAACTGAAACATTATCTTATTGTTCAAATAAATACACTTCTGGACCCTCCTAATCTTTTAATGCTGGCTGTGCCTTCTGGAGATGAACTACCCATTTTAATGACATGAACTGTTTCCAAAGCCTTGCAGATGTAAAGGATTGCTCTCTCAAGACCACTGAATGCAAAACCCCATTCTTTTTAACTAGTCTTAAAAAAAACCCAAACTAAAACACACCCAGAGTACTCACTTTATTGCCTTGATTTGCTACTTGGATATTACTTTTTCCATGGACTGTACCCACTAGGATTCTTCCAGTCTATTGCATTTTCATATGGAAATTTTACCTGCATCTACAATATATTCTATCTGTTCAACCTCCTTTTCCTGTGTTATTTTTTCATTACCCTTGCCTGTCTCTACACTTCATGGGTGCTTTTCCAGAGACTTATTAGACTTACTGGCACAGGACACATCTTTCATCCAGGCTCATTTGTTGGTCTCTGCCCTAAGAAGGGACAGCTGGTTCCTCTCTGACACAGTTCCTCTCCATTGAGGCTGTGATTTCTGGACCTCATGATCCTGCACATCTTTCCAGCAACTTTTGTGCTGATCCAGCCCAGCACATGGACCTGGCACAACCTGTAACTGCCTCCATCAAAGACCAATGCACCCTGAATCATAGAAATACGTTTTTGCAGAAAGTATTCAGAGAAAAATCTCAGTTGGAAGTCCCATCTGAATGGAAAGCATCATTTTGAACACATTTAATGGATTTATTAAATTTAAAAGAACATAGAAGTTGATAAATTCTTTAGAAACCAAATAATTACTGAGGCAAGGCATTTTCTTCTCCATTTTTTTTGCAAACATTTTTTCATTTATTCTGTATGTGAAGAAGGGGAGATCTTATCCTTAGGTAGCTGAGTGTCTTGTACCCAGCTCTCAACTAGGCTGAGAAACCATTTCTTCTCCTCAATCCTTCAGATCAAGAAAAAAAGCCCTCAGCAGTTAATATTAATTACTTTCTAAAATCTTTTAAGGCAAGTTTTCACAAACATATAACTAAGATGTCTGCTTTGACTCTTCAATAGTTTATGAAAATGTTGTGGTTGAATACATCTCCTGTGATTTCCTTTGCTTTACGCTGTGGACCAATTTCTGCGCCGTGGGAAGCCACAGTGTGTTAATGGTAGCCAGGGTGGCCCCGGGTGGCCAGTTTACTGCAAACTCCAGTCCTCTGGGGATGAAAAAATACCCCTCCAATAAAGTCATTCACCAGCCTGGCTCCAAATTTTCTCTCATGGAGAAATCACCAACCAGTGCTCAAACTCCTGAGCTTCTCAGTATCCAGGGCACAACTGTGACCTGCCCAAGATCCTCTGGAAGATGCTTGAGGAAGCTCAGCCCATGCAGTCGGTGGGAGTGATCTTGTAAGAAGTGCCCCATTTTTGTGTCTTGCTGTGTTCCTGATGGCAGGAATGAGTTGCCACAAGGAGCCTGGAGGAGAGTTACATGGTGGTTGGAAGAGTCCCAGCATAATTACGTCCTGCCAGAGCTGCATCAGTTTATGCACAGACAGCTCTGCAGCAACGCCACCATGCAGAAATGGGAAGCAAATGCTGCAGTTTGTATTAATTATTCAGCAGCTCCTGTGCAATGAACAACAAAGGCAAAACAGGCATAAAAGTCGAGAAGACCTCAGATGCATTCTCTGCATGGACCAGGAAGGGCAAAGGCTGTGGTCTTCAGCATCAGTAGCCTGTGCATCATGTCTGGGAGACCCAGCCAGCACTCTTTGGTGCTTTGCAGGTGTGAATATCCACCACTTCTAGGCAGTCCTGGCAGCGCACAGCACAGCACCAGTGGAATTTGCACTCACATTTTGTCATTCTGCTGACACGGGAGGTGTCGTAGCCTCTCCCACAGCACATCACTTCACAGCTGTCCATGCCGCGGGAGGTGTGGTTACACACCCGACCAGCTGTCCCAAGGGACCCTACAAAGGGAACACAGGAATGGTCAGGAGGCAGATTATAAGGAAGGACAGAAAGCATGTGAAAATATGTATAGGAGACATAATTTGCAGTGTATTTGATCCTTCAACATCACATCACCCAGCCAGAGAAATGCCTTTAATAAGGTAAAACGGCTCTCAAATTTCCCCTAGAGATAATGGCTGGAGATGAGGATGAACAAAATGGACCAAATACTTCAAGGCTAGTA